ATTATCTATCATTTGTCTAAACTGTGTTTGTATCCCATTATCTATCATTTGTTAAAACTAGGCATTTTTGATATTGAAACTGAAATATAGGGCAAACAACAAAGGGATTTGAATTAACAAATGTATTTATTTCTTGCAGTTAAAGAAAAATTGGCTCATGACCAAGACAGTGAAATAGCAACGACTAGTCTCCGTGTATCCCTACTTTGTCCAGTGAGTAATACACAGCAATCATGATTCTATATTGTTTACTTTTAGTGAGAAGATGGTTTATAATTAGTCCATCTTTGTAAAATGATCTAAATATTCAAAATAACGGTCATTTACTAGTTGATTGCATTCTTGGACCTTTTTTCTCAGACAAAAAAAAATCAAGTGTAAAATTAATATAAAGCACATATAATAAAAAAGAAAGTTTTATTAAATGATGGAGACAGATGTAATGAGATTTTACATGGAGAGGTACCTTTATACCTGCTTAATATGGAGTAACCTGTTGAAGATTCTTGGAGTTTACAATGGTGACTTGATAAGCTATAGACCGAGGAGATACAGAAACAATGCTATGTTTGATTAAAATATTTTGTTTTCACCTTATTAGCTTGGGAAGATGAGGATAACGATACCGATACGGGCGAGTTCTTGTACACATCTACAGACGTTTGATGCCATTACCTTTCTGATGATGAACGAGAAGAAACCCACGTGGATGTGTCCTGTTTGTGATAAAATTGCACCTTTTCATAAGCTATTTATTGATGGGTACGGCTGATATACTTTGTTCATCTATGACATGCAATAAACCACATGTATAATGAAGCCCTAGGGACCTAAATGATACCTATGTTATAAGCAATATATAGTCTCTCCTTCAAATGAAAGCATAACATATTACATTATGGCTACTCTATTTAAGCATATACCTCAAAGTAGTGTTTTAAAAAAGTCGCATTCAACTTAGTTTTCTTTTTAGTAACCTATAACCTGGAACAGATGATTTCAGGCAATATTTGACATCTTAAAGAAATTAATTGTTTTGACATATATATTTAAACAAGGATTTTTTTCTTTTGCTAATTATTGTTCATCAAGCAAAAATGATGGCACGCAGTGAAGATTCTCTTCATTCTGGCTCAAACATCTTGTATGCTGCATTTTAACAATTTAATGTGTAATGGTGTACAAGCACATGCTTCTGTTCTTTTAGAATGAGGAAGATACTTTTGTTCTAAATATAACACTTAACTTAACTAGGTCATCATTATTGATACTTTTTTTCAGATTGTTTGTGGAAATCCTAAAAGAAGCAACAGATGACGAGATTCAGTTTACGGAGGATGGTAACTGGTGCCATTTACAGCGGATCAAAGAAACACATGTGATACCTAGTCCTATCATCAAAAAGCCTGCAGCTACTGTTGTGGCTGATACTTCAGGTAAATTGAGCAAATAACCTGCAGCTATTGTTGTGGCAGATACTTCAGGTAAATTGAGCAAATAACCTGCAGCTACTGTTGTTTTATTTAGATACTTAAGATAAAATGAACGAATGTCTTTAACTATATTTATTTAGTGTCGGATATTAAAAGTGTAAACTATCTAATGAGTATAGCTACTCTATTTTCAGATTGTTCAGGTAAAAGTCATCAAATATCTCTAGGTACTCTTAGTTTCTGACACTAAAGATAAATCATTAAATGTCTAGGTACTCTTAGTTTCTGACACTAAAGATAAATCATTAAATGTCTAGGTACTCTTAGTTTCTGACACTAAAGATAAATCATTAAATGTCTCTAGGTACTCTTAGCTTCTGACGCTAAAGATAAATCATTAAATGTCTCTAGGTACTCTTAGTTTCTGACACTTAAGATAAATCATCAAATGTCTCTAGGTACTCTTAGTTTCTGACACTAAAGATAAATCATCAAATGTCTCTAGGTACTCTTAGCTTCTGACGCTAAAGATAAATCATTAAATGTCTCTAGGTACTCTTAGTTTCTGACACTTAAGATAAATCATCAAATGTCTCTAGGTACTCTTAGTTTCTGACACTAAAGATAAATCATCAAATGTCTCTAGGTACTCTTAGCTTCTGACGCTAAAGATAAATCATTAAATGTCTCTAGGTACTCTTAGTTTCTGACACTTAAGATAAATCATCAAATGTCTCTAGGTACTCTTAGTTTCTGACACTAAAGATAAATCATCAAATGTCTCTAGGTACTCTTAGCTTCTGACGCTAAAGATAAATCATTAAATGTCTCTAGGTACTCTTAGTTTCTGACACTTAAGATAAATCATCAAATGTCTCTAGGTACTCTTAGTTTCTGACACTAAAGATAAATCATCAAATGTCTCTAGGTACTCTTAGCTTCTGACGCTAAAGATAAATCATTAAATGTCTCTAGGTACTCTTAGTTTCTGACACTTAAGATAAATCATCAAATGTCTCTAGGTACTCTTAGTTTCTGACACTAAAGATAAATCATCAAATGTCTCTAGGTACTCTTAGCTTCTGACGCTAAAGATAAATCATTAAATGTCTCTAGGTACTCTTAGTTTCTGACACTTAAGATAAATCATCAAATGTCTCTAGGTACTCTTAGTTTCTGACACTAAAGATAAATCATTAAATGTCTCTAGGTACTCTTAGTCTCTGACACTAAAGATAAATCATTAAATGTCTCTAGGTACTCTAAGTTTCTGACACTAAAGATAAATCATCAAATATCTCTAGGTACTCTTAGTTTCTGACACTAAAGATAAATCATTAAATGTCTCTAGGTACTCTTAGTCTCTGACACTAAAGATAAATCATTAAATGTCTCTAGGTACTCTTAGTTTCTGACACTAAAGATAAATCATCAAATATCTCTAGGTACTCTTAGTTTCTGACGCTAAAGATAAATCATTAAATGTCTCTAGGTACTCTTAGTCTCTGACACTAAAGATAAATCATTAAATGTCTCTAGGTACTCTTAGTTTCTGACACTAAAGATAAATCATCAAATATCTCTAGGTACTCTTAGTTTCTGACGCTAAAGATAAATCATTAAATGTCTCTAGGTACTCTTAGTCTCTGACACTAAAGATAAATCATTAAATGTCTCTAGGTACTCTTAGTTTCTGACACTAAAGATAAATCATCAAATATCTCTAGGTACTCTTAGTTTCTGACGCTAAAGATAAATCATTAAATGTCTTGAGCTACTCCGGTACAACTTATTACATATCTACTGCCATTCTATTGGTAAATACTTCAGTGAAAATCATGAAATGTCCAGCTTTTGTAGCATCTGGTTGTTAAACTGCATATAGACATAAAACAATTCACAAAGTCTTGTTCCTGATTGCAAGAAACAAAATTGTCAAGATATATGAAACCTCCTTTTGTAGGAAATATAGTTATGTATTTTGCTTAGTAAATAGTTTAAGTTATTGAATTATTCAGAATCACCAACAAAACGACCAAAGATGGATGTGATAGATCTAACTGAGGACAGTTCAGATGAAGATGGTCCATCAGGCTTCCAGTCCAGCTCTCATGGTTATCAGTCTACAGGGTGTGTTAGTCCGCCGGTCATCAGTCTCGACTCCCCAACACCGGCCCCTTCCTCCATCTCCTCTACAGAGTCACCACTGGTATCATCGCCCTGTTCCAATTCGTCCTCCTACTCAGCCTCTACCTCCCCATCAGCCTCCCCTGGGGCATCGTCAAGCACTACACAACCCCTATCTGCTCCAACCTCACCACTCAGACATTCACCTTCACCATCCCCAATACACTCTCCCAGCTCACAGTCCAGTCACAGTGAGGCACCGTCAAGTCACAGTGATCCACAGTCTCCTACGGACTCCCAGGAGTCCCCACACAGCTCTCCACGGTCAACACATACCTCACCGCAGCAGTCACCCATAGGGGTACGGGTGTCGCCCGTTACCCCACCCTCATCAGCACCTTCCTTTCCCCCCTTCCAACCTTTCCAACCCCCCGTGCATCCCATGAACTATCCACACTACCAACAAATATCAAACTTTGATCCAGACTTTGACGAGTTCTTACGAGGTATAGTTCCGTGGGACCAGTATCGGTAGCCCCTATTGTCTAGGAGGCCATTGTTTTGTTATTTGTTATCATGATGGAAACAGTTAATTGTTTGTACTAAAGCAGTTGATAAAGAGCTGAGTCCTGTTTTAAAAGCTTGCTTTCACAACTCTTCTGGTACTTACCATTAAGTGATCCATCAGCACACTGTTCATATTATTTAAGTATTTGTAATTATATAATGCATGGATCCAGATCAATTAGAAGTATTTCTTTAATGAATATTTATAATCTTGACCTGATGTTTGATTTTCACCACTCCAATCCAAATGAGAGAAAAAAAATACAGAAAAGAAATCAGATTCAAATATTGATTTTAAATATATTATGGAGAAAAGTTCTATCGGATTAATTTATCAAATCTGTGTTTTTAAAATGGGTTAAAGTGGATTTGATTTGTTTGAAGACTGTATTGCAGCACTATATCTTCTATCCCTCTGGTTGTTCTGGACCCATACCTGTTGTTTGTGACACAGAAGTCGGTGCTTTTGAATTGTCCGCACACAGTACATTAAGACACACTTAAAAGAATAACAGAAAGGCTCTTGAAATAATGAAATCTTGGATAAATCACAGACTGATTTATTGGATCAATCCAAATATGTCTGTCTGTAGACAAACATTGTATACATGTAAATATATAAATATATATATATTGCGATTCTCTTTAGATAATGGATGCGAATGAGTATGATTGTGATGTTTTTAAGTATGTATTTTCAAAAGGTGAATGACAATTGAAGAAGCAAGATTTTGAGGTATGATTGTTATCCATATGTTAAAAAATGTGATCAGGTATTTCATAATTTTATTGTCATAAAAATGTATTGGTTCCACATCAATCATTAATCACAGTCCAAAATAACTGATGGTTTGAAAGAAAGTTTTAAACCTGGAGCAGCATTATTTTAATTGTATGATTTTTAAGTGTTTTAAATAATTTATTTTATAAAGAAGGAGGGAACAATGAATAGATCATCATGCATAATAATTGATAACCATAATTGATGTAGTTCTGTGTGTTATTACATCATCAGTTATACTCCTATCATCAGTCAATTCCTTAGTCTCAAGCCTGTTGTCTCCAAGAATATAAAACAAACATTCAAATGTTAATACACCAATAAACATTGTTTAGTATTTAGTGTAGATCCTAGTCAGGTCAAGATAATTCTAGTGGATTACTTCAGATAAAGATATTTGGAAGATTTTATGTTAGGTCCAGTGTTTGTAGACAAAATCAACAGAGGGCAAATTTTATTTATAAGGCCAAAGGATGAAAAAAGGGAAAAATTTCATTCATGTATGGCAAAGATTTCAAATACAAATGGTATATATGATATAGATACATATGATATAGATACCAATAAGTTACTAGACTCCAATACAATCAATGTTGCTAACTAATAGAAGGTTCTTCGTGAATGGTTTATGCAATACGTTGTGTGTGTGACATTTCATTGCAATGCCAATTTTTGGTCCAGCACAGTATTCACCATGTTCCTAAGCATAATCCTGCATGCATGTAAGTCTGCTTCTCTGTCCTTCTCATAACGTCCTGCATGAATTGATGTAACCTAGTGTAATCAACAAATGTGTTGAGGATCGACACTCATATATAACTGTTTTGTTCAAAAAAAATTGTGTCTGGGGTAATATCTAAATAATATCCCACCACAAGTCTGTCTTGTGATCAATTTTCTTGTATTTTGTGTGATGTCTCATTAACCATATTTAAAGAATGTCTTCAAAAGTAAAAAATAAACCAGCAATACAGCCTCCCATCAGACAGACATCATTACTAAGTGACTCAGGCTAATTGATTTGAAGGTGATAATACATGTACAGTTTCTTTAAACCCTCGCAACAGTATTACATCTAGGTAGTATATCACCACACTGAAGCTTTCTCATGATCATCGGTTTGTTTGCTTTCTTGAGATATTAACATACATTTTAAAAGTAATATCATTCCTGAATGTTTGAATACGTAATTTCTTGTGATGTCTCTGTTTCTTTCTTCCAAATTATTTCATTCTGTGTGCAATTCTATATTGAAGATAGCCTCACTACAGTAAAGCACATGTAATCTCTTTGTGACAAGGTCAATAAGGGGATATAGCATTCTATTTGTATGTATGTACCCTTTTTGTAATCACTCTAGCAACTTTATTTTGCAGAAGATTTTTTATCCCGTTACTTATGATGGAACCTATTTTTCATGTTGCATGGTGTCTGGTCAGTGTCACCATTGCTATTTACAGATGTCTTCATTGTCATTTTACTGACATCACTTCTGAATTGTTCATTAATTAAATTCTTACAATCTATTAAATATAAAAATACTTTGACTAGATTTGTGTTTCAGGGTGCCAAGGTAAAGGTCAATACCCACAAGAAGTTTGTTTTTCAATATATATAAAATCTTTGTTATCCTTGCAACTCTGAATCTTTCAGAAAACTTAATGTTAATACGGATAAGATCTTTATATTTGAATTCATCTTCTGAAAGTGAAGTGGCTAGAGTGGTAGATAAGGAGGCACTGTGGATGCCGAGTATAGGCTCTCTAACAGGCTAGTGTGCACACAAGGGTGCTTGTATTGTTTGTGTTGCCTTGTTGCTTCAGGATCTACTTTTGTTACTAGCATCTGCAGAGATTCCATACGAAAATGTAGTGAAATACAAATGCTAATTTAAATTGTGTTAATTGATCGCCGACATATTTGATAGGTACACCAGAAGCCGTGCATTGGTAGGCTTTTCTTTTTCTTTGTGATAATTTTTCGAATTGTTTGAATACTAAGTTTTCAAGGGAAGTAAAAATAAATGCATACATAATGAGTGTTTAAGGTAGCATATATACTTAAGGTGATCAGGCTTCGAGAAACTTTTCTCGACTTGATCCAGAAAGTCTATCAGGCTTCGAGAAACTTTCCTTGACTTGATCCAGAAAGTCTATCAGGATTCGAGAAACTTTCCTTGACTTGATCCAGAAAGTCTATCAGGCTTCGAGAAACTTTCCTCGACTTGATCCAGAAAGTCTATCAGGCTTCGAGAAACTTTCCTTGACTTGATCCAGAAAGTCTATCAGGCTTCGAGAAACTATCCTCGACTTGATCCAGAAAGTTGATGTGTAATGGCAGGATGTGTTTTACAGGACTAGTTCATACTAGTATGTTTAACTAATATATACTTACCTAATTACGTCCACATCTAACGTTTACTAGCATTGTTGTAACAGAAACACAACTATAAATGGCTTATTTGGTGCTGTATAGACCTGTATCATGTCACCTGCTGTATCCTGCATACTTATTTTATACATGATGTATTATTCCATAAGTTATGTGTGGATACTTATTACAAGAGATGTTACTAGTACTAAAAAGGAAACTCTGATCGGACAGTGAATTAAAGACATACAATATCTTTACGTTAACTCATTCATCCCTGAAAACACATTTGAACTATTCCAATTCAAAGGTTGGAATAGTTCATAATGAAATTTCAGGGGTGAATGAGTTAATGTGATTGGCAGATTCACAACTACCCAAGTAAGTTGTCATGTTTGAATTTTATGTAATTAAAACCACAATGTGCATACATTATCTCATACAGTTTTCAAAACATCCCAAATAAGTACCAGTCTCTCTTGTTCTACTGTCCACAAGGGAAATTCGTAGGTATTTGACAGGCTGGTAACGGCCACTATCCTGTTCCCTTTAAGCTCTGTTGAAGGGAATAAATAGTTCTAAAACTCACTCATTGTTAGAAAGTTTGTGACGGTAACATGATTTGGTTTAGCAAGTTTTGCATGTGTATTTGAGTTGGTGGGTTAATTCAAGCATGAGAATGTTGGCCCCCAATGTTGTCTGCTTTGTACTAACTCAGTGCTGTCTGTGTGCTCTTATGTAAGGTTAACTTTGGGAAGTAAATAGGCGCTGGTCAAATCACAGTCATATTTAGCATGGTATATTAATGCACCTCATCCTAATTTAAAAAAATCATTTTATGTCATGCAGTCATTTCATCAATACCATTTCTTTCATTTTTGTGTGCTGCTTTTCCTCATAAGTTTGAATGGATGTTTCCCCCCACACCCCTCCCCAAAGAAAATCAAACTTCTATATAACGAAATAGAGTAAATTAATGTTGGATGCTTTAAACCAGTCATAAGTCATTATGTATGTAAGATATACCTTTAAACAAATTCACAAATCTCATTCAGGTCTTCAGAGACTTTCAATTGTGCCTTCAATTTCATTGAATTTTTCGGAGAAAGAATTGGTGTGAAGTTTATTGTGAAATTAATCTTTTTAGTTGATTTGTAGTTTCATCATTATTTCTATACAAAGGCAATAAATTTGATTGTTTAAATGTTACACAATAAACATTGCAAATTCAAATTTAAACAGGAGGATGTAAAAGCTGTATCTGAACAGAATAAATAACGAATGATCCGGACATGATTGTCTGTTTTAGTAGGATTTTTTTTTATTGATTTCCATTTTATTGACAACACAAGTTGATCAGGATATTAAATGAAAAAAAGATATGATAGGTACCGACTGTTACAGTAGTGTTTGTGTCTGTGACGTATGTTTGAGAGCCTGTAATGGAGTCAAGCCCTATATATTTGACCCAATAAACATTTTCTTGTTTTTTAACTTTAATTTGGAACATTGATAAAATTCTCATAATTTTGCAAACTGTGAATACGTTTCATTTGTACTCGACCGTTTGTAGTATGTTTGAGAGAGAGGGGAAGTACACACTATGCTATGGTTTGAATGAGGTTAGACATTATTATTTGCAACGTACTTCTTGGGTTTGCTATGTTGGATAGATCAAGGGGAAAATCTCATACATGTAAAATTGTGTATAACTGATGTAAAAATAAGATATTGTCATTAAAGTTTGTTATGAATATGAAGAAAGTTTTGTTTTTTATTTTTGATAAGTTTCCTCATGAGAGCACAAAGCCACTGTCTAGGTCAATGTTGTTTACAAAAACTTTTACTAACCTTGTTTTACTAACCATTGCACCTCTACTCTAGTGGGACAAGTGGAGCAACGTACCTCTCGTCTCCACATGTCTTTTATCATGTGGACCTGCCACAATGAGGACGGTGATAGCTTTCCTAGATAATCATTAAGGATATATGCTTTATTACTATGATTTATCTCGACAATGAGGACGTTGATAGCTTGCCTAGATAATCATTAAGGATATATGCTTTATTACTATGATTAATCTCGACAATGAGGACGGTGATAGCTTGCCTAGATAATCATTAAGGATATATGATTTATCTATCTCCTTTACAAATGAACTCCACTAGTACTATCTAAAGAAATACTTTTCATGATTTGGCAATTGGGACTGAGTAAATTGTTCTAAATTGTTCAACTGCTCGTGTTTGATGTCGATATAAAAAAGTGATAACAGTTTACACAGATCACGGGTACGGTACAATGTAGCAAATGTCTGTAAGGGAGGTAACTAACAAATCGCAGGTATATTAATGTAGCATCTATTGTTAAGTGATTGTTGGCTGGAAAGCTTTCGGCTCACCCAGCAGAAAGTGTCTGTGACCTTATGCTATAGCAGGCATCTATATAACTATCACGTGGTCCTTCTTTTGAACCATAATGCCAAGAGTCAAATGGTTCCTGTAGTTAGCATAGTTGGATGGCTTTCAGGCATGTTCAAATAAATTACCTTACCACCTTTCAAGGGTCAGTTTTGTTCAAACGTTCACCATCTTCTACCAAAGTTTGAGGTCTAGGGGAATGATATTGGCCTTGTAACTTGCTGGAGAGGAGGCAATCTGTATTTTTATAATTTTGAATATGATAAATTACTGGTCTGTTTTTATGGTAAAATGTGCTAAAAACTTCCATAGAATAGTGAAGGTTAGAGTGATAACATATTTTCTTAACCCATCTACAAGCTCACGTGGGTCGTGTTCAGAGGTGTGTAAAACATCAGTCAGATTACCAGTATAAGGACTACAGTATGATATTTGTCTACCTGGTGTATTTTTCCGAGGTGGAGATCAAACTTGATATTTACCCACCTTTATCAATAACAAGGGTAAAGTATGTTAAAAACAAAAATAAAGGAATGGTAAGCAATGCAACCACGTGGTCCTCCTTTAGGTTTCATTGAGAGCAGATATGATGGAAACATCAAACTTTTGGGCATCAGCATGTCTAATTTTTACATATCTCAATTTCATAAAGATAGGTAGATTAGTTATTTCTATAAACATATCATTCTTTATACATTTAGTCATATGGAATGGAGGTGTTTTCCACAGGTTTGAAATAGAAATATAAGATAATATTTTTCGCCAAAAAATTTGAGATGACTTCATCCCAGAAATTTGACTATGCACAGGAAAACAGAAGCTTCTGTAGTACACACAAAAGGCTACACCTGTTAAAATACATAAATTAAAATACCACAAAATAGATCTACACATGGAAATAGAGAAACTCGTATACCAAATACAAAAAAGATGCACACAGGGTGGAAAAACCCCACGAAAATATATATGAAAACATTACATGAAAGTAGATCAATTCAGACTACACACTAAAACATACACACATGGCTCACAGGATTGGTAGCAGGGCTTCACAGCAGTGGTGTGACCAGAAGAGGTGGAGAGGTTTGTGTATAAAGAAGATAATTATTGTTCTATTCTTAAATTAATATTGAAATTGGCCATAATCAACCACAGCCGAAACTACATTATTCAAGGTTTTATTAGAGACAACAAAGACCTATTTTTAGCTCACCTGGCATGAAGTGCCTGTGAGCTTATGGTATGGTGTGTTGTCCGTCGTCAATGTCCCTCAACGTTTTCTTTAAACAACTTCTTAAGAACTGAAGGACCTAAGGTCAGGATGTTGGGTCAGTAAGTAAGTAGGACACCATGCTATATATGTTTTCTTCAAATAAATTGCCTTGACCAACTTACAAGGTCACAGGCATCAAATATGTAAAAACCTTGAAACAACTCTTTCTTTATTACCAGGAGGCCCAGAGTGATGATAGGTGGCCAAAAGGTACCTGGCATGGAGTGCTAATGACATTGAGCTACTTTCAATTTCAAGATCACAAGAGTCAAACGTGTTAAAAAAAAATTTAAAAAACTTTTTCTCAATAACTAAGAGGCCTAGAGTAATGGTTTTTGGCAAGTAGGTACCTTGGATGGAGTGCTATTAGCTTCCATCAAATGGATGGCCTTGACATACTTTCAAAGTCACAGGTCAAAAATATAAAAATCTTCAAACAACTTCTAAACAACCAGTAGGACCAGGGTGATGACATTCGGCCAGTAGGTATCTTGGAGGTAGTGCTATGAAGTTTCCTCAAATTGATGACCTTGACCTACATTAAAGGTCACATGGATCAACTTTGTGAACCTTTGAATGACTCCTGAATAACTAAGACACAAACAGTGATGATATTTGGCATGCTGTGATGGGGTGCTTTGAAGTTTCCTCAATTAATTTCCTTGACCTACTTTCAAGGTCACAGGCATCAAACATGTGAAAAACATTTCAACAACTCCTTCTTAATTACAGTACTAAGAGGCATAGAGAAATGTTTTTTGGGTCAGTAGGTTTCTGGGATGTAGTGCTATGAAACTTTTCAAATGGATGACCTTGACCTACTTGAAGGTTACAGGAGTCAAATGTGTTAAAACCTTTGAACAACTTCTGAATATCTTGGACCCATAAAGTGATGATCATTGATGTTTAGCTAGTTGCATTCAATGATGTGGTGCTATGATAAATAAATAAAAATAAATAACCTTGTCATTCTTTCAAGGTCACATGCATGAATTATGTAATTGCATTTAAACAACTCCATCTGCATAACCAGGAGCATCTGGAAGATGATATTTAATCAGTAGCATGTTGGAATGGAGGGATATAAAGTTTCCTCAAGTAAATGACCTCTACCTACTTCTAAGGTCACATGGGTCAAATGTGTGAAAGTCTCTCAAACAATTTATTCCTTATAATGAAGAGTGCCAGTGTGATGATGGAGTAGTACAAATTTTGCATGAAAAAAAAATGAAAATCAATTTTCTTTGTTGTTTTGATATTAAATATAATTTCAACATTTATGATGGTCTGCAACAAAATTTCTTACAATCGTGTTCCATGCACTGTAATACACATTGAAGAACATGTTCGAATGAAACTGTTGCATACAATCATAAATGTTGAAAAATTTCATTTCAGTCCTTTTGAATAATTGCTGTTACTCCACATGAACATCAAGTCATAGTTACATAGAATGTATATGTCATAGTTACATAGAATTTAGATGTCATAGTTACATAGAATTTAGATGTCATAGTTACATAGAATTTATATGTCATAGTTACATAGAATGTAGATGTAATAGTTACATAGAATGTAGATGGCATCGTTACATAGAATGTAGATGTCATTGTTACATACAATGTAGATGACAAAGTTACATAGAATGTATAAGTCATATTTACATAGAATGTATATGTCATCGTTTCATAGAATGTATATGTCATAGTTACATATAATGTCGATGTCATAGTTACATAGAATGAATATCTCATCGTTACATAGAATTAAGATGTCATAGTTACATAGAATTTATATGTCATAGTTACATAGAATGAATATGTCATAGTTACATAGAATTTAGATGTCATAGTTACATAGAATTTAGATGTCATAGTTACATAGAATTTAGATGTCATAGTTACATAGAATTTAGATGTCATAGTTACATAGAATGTGTATGTCATCGTTACATAGAATGTGTATGTCATCGTTACATAGAATGTATATATCATCGTTGCATAGAATGAAGATGTCATAGTTACAGAGAATGTAGATGTCATAGTTACGTAGAATGTAGATGTCATAGTTACTTAGAATGTAGATGTCATATTTACATAGAATGTATATGTCATCGTTACATACAATGTATATGTCATCGTTACACAGAATGTTGATGTCATAGTTACATAGAATTTATATGTCATAGTTACATAGAATTTATATGTCATAGTTACATAGAATGTGTATGTCATCGTTACATAGAATGTGTATGTCATCGTTACACAGAATGTTGATGTCATAGTTACATAGAATGAATATGTCATAGTTACATAGAATTTATATGTCATAGTTACATAGAATTTATATGTCATAGTTACATAGAATTTATATGTCATAGTTACATAGAATGTGTATGTCATCGTTACACAGAATGTTGATGTCATAGTTACATAGAATGTGGATGTCATAGTTACATATAATGTCGATGTCATAGTTACATAGAATGTGTATGTCATCGTTACACAGAATGTTGATGTCATAGTTACATAGAATGTATGTCTCATCGTTACATAGAATGTGGATGTCATAGTTACATAGAATTTATATGTCATAGTTACATAGAATGTGGATGTCATCATTACATAGAATATATATGTCATAGTTACATATAATGTCGATGTCATAGTTACATAGAATTTATATGTCATAGTTACATAGAATGAATATCTCATCGTTACATAGAATGTAGATGTCATAGTTACATAGAATGTAGATGTATATAAGGAACATCACATAGAAATATATGAAGATTTTATGAATATATGGTAAATATTTCTATGTGAATGATGTTTGCAGATTTGTAATGAAGTTGATACAGGTGTGCAGCAGGTCTGGTTGTAAACTGCTGGACCATGTCAGTAATCTTTCTGAGTGCCTCCTTGTGTTCCAGATATTCCGACTCAGTCTGGAGCCCGGGTAAAAACGGAGGAGACTGGAGCCCGGGTAACAACGGAGGAGAATGGAGCCCGGGTAACATCGGAGGAGAGTGTGCCATGACTGGTTTCGATGTCCTTGACCTCACCG